AAAATTAATGGGTGTGAGTCCACAACTTTCAGAATGAATCACAGCCTTGGCATCTGCAGGAAATGCTGTGATGTCAAAATAATGACATGCTTGCAGTGACGCCACCACGCAAATGAGGTTATGAAATTGACAGTTTCAGGATTTGGAAACTGAAAAAGACAAAACATTTGGGGAAAAGCTTACGATGATGATTACTCAATAGAAAAAGAGCAGAGGGCATAATAATTTCTAATGCATTCATTGCCTATTGCATTTTTATTTTCAGATATTTTTAATGCCACCTTTATTTATTTTTATAAATAAGTCAAGGCGGCGAACGTATCCAATACTCCTTCCTCTGCATGAATGATCAAAGCTTCACTATTACTTGCACTGAATAAACATTGGTACAATACCTGGATATTCTTTGGCACCTTCACATGTATTTTTTCCCCCCCTAGGCATATGACATGCATATTCGTGGTGCAGTCAGAAATTTATTTTCTGAGAATGCCTTTGAAGCCTATATGGGCTGCAAAAGCCTTTTTGGAAACAAAGATGAAACTCACAAGTTCTTTGCAGCATGTAAATATCCTCCCCCACCCCCTCAGTGAATAAAATAAGAAAATTGGGTGAAAATCATAGAAAGCCAATGATGTCTGATTTGTAAGTTGCTGAGGTTATGCCTTGCGGAAAATCAGGATTTGCTAGAAATTCCTGAATGCATGATTGGCAGAAGACTATCTGGAACCGGAGGTTAAACCAAGATTATTATTTATCCACAATGCTTGAAGACTATGTGTGTGCACACCTGGTATGTATATATCTGTGGGATGTTACAATTTGCATTTTGAGTTGTTGCTCTGAAAAATGTTATTGTTATATATAGGGTTTGTATATATACCTCACATTAAGCCCTAATCCAGATGTTCTCAACCTTTTTATGGCTTTTGGAGCCCTATTTACTTCTGGGTGACACCCACCCACTCATAGTCACCGTTAAAGTACTTATTGCAAAGTCTATCCTGCCAGGATAGCTCCCTATGACCCCCTAAAATATAGTATGGCATCCTGGAGAGATCATACAGTTCACATTGAGAAATTATGATAGGGGTTGGAGTAGATGTGTTCTATGATTCCTTCCAACTCTATGATTCGATCTTTATATCCTGCCATAAGGATCTTTAATTTAAAAAAGCAATAAAATATCGATAAAGATATAGTACAATGTTTCTCAAACTTGGTAAGATGTGGACTTCAATTCCCAGAATTCCCTAGCCAGCGTCATAGCTGGCTGGGGAATTCTGGGAGTTTAAGTGCCCCTACCTTAAGGCTGCCATATTTCAGAAACACTGAATAGTGCGTCTTTATCTTTAATCTAATTTCTTTTTGCTTTTACTGATGTGCCATTTTTCCATAATAGACTGTCAGTATATTGTATTGCCAATTCCTTTAATTTCCCAGCCTGCTCACCCAAGATTCTGGTCTCCCATTAATATACAACCAGGCCTGATCCTGCTTAGTTTTTAAAACTAAGCTTACTTAGATGCTACCATCTAACTTACATGCTACCATCCTTCCAGATACTGGAAGTATTAAAACACAGCAGCACATTTCAAAATGTTTCCTTTCAATTTATTTTTTTAGAAACAAGTTAACAAACAAAAATAAGGCATGTTTACAGATTTTGTCTTCTTTTAAGGCATCTCAGAGGCATTCTTCCTTTTTGTTCCTATTCTGGGAAATGAGTTGCTTTTCAAAAGCACAGGAGAATCATCACACACGCATGCACAAATGCACAGACACACACACACACACAAACAAAGTAGAGGACAAAAGTAAAAAAAGAAAATCTCACTGACTCACTTGCATTCCTTTTGCTGAATAAGTTGGACATGTTCAAGATATCTCTGCCTGACCTTTGAAACTTTCGTCATTTGAATTTTTTATAAATATATATTATTTACATCACACACCCTCTCTGGAGCTGAGTTGATTAAATATATCCCACCTCAATACACATTCCTTTTAATATCTGATCAGAACATTTATTGGGCATTGAAACTCTTCGTTGTTTTTATTCTTGTTTCTCTTCCCATGTGGGTTTAATGCAGTTATTCAATGTGGAGGAAGGAATATTATATGTACAATACTTTCAGAGATGATCTCTGGGCATTTTGAAAGCGATCAGTTGCGTGTAGAGGAAGGACATCTAATAAAAATACAATTCCATATTTCAGATTATCAAAAGGATCAATAGTTTTATTCAAGGAAGTAAAACCAGTTGGTCGAAACATAAAAGCTTTTGATTTTAAAGGCAGAAAGCCTTAAAGAAGACCCTTCTTAGCCATAAAATGAGAACCTCGAACACTATTCTGCTTTCCCATTGACGTGTATCTGTATTGAATCCTGACAAGAAAAACAAGCGAGGTGTTGATAGATTGTTTTGTTGACAATTAACAGTATGCTCATGATATAATTGTCTAATTTAAATTCATATTACATATTCCAAAACAACTCCGGTCCTTCAGGGACGCTTCAGTGCGGATCTGAAAGTTTAAAGATACTCTTTCCTGGGAAACACCTCATGGAGAAAGAACTTTTCACTTTGCCCTGTATTTCAGGGACAATTCATTTTACCACATTGGAAATAGCAGTCTTAAAAGTTCGATAATCGCATTCCAAACCTGCCACTCCACATTTTTGCTTTGTGGCTGTAAAACAATCTATCAGTTGTTTCTACTTTTACAGCGAGCAATGCTCACGAACTGGCAACTTCCCTCAATGCCCCAGAAGTGTGGTATGTGTGTGTGTGTGTGGTGATGGGGAAAATCTACTGTGATTTGTACCAAATCTCTCTGGTTCTTGAAAGAAAAAGCATTTCAGAAAGAGATCTCTACCCCCACCGAGGAATTATTCCCAAAGGAGAGGACCATCCTACCCACATGATCCCCTTGGGATAGCAAAGGAGAGACAAGAGGAAGAAAGAAAAGAAAAAGAAAATGCCTCACTAGAACTAAAGACCAAAAAAGAAGTTGAAAGACTCCGAGGACAAAAAGATAAGATTCCATTGGGACCCAGTTTCTTGGCAACCAAATCCTTTTCTGCAGAGACACAGAAAACATTGCATGGCATTAAAGGAAAGACAATGCTTTTTTAAAAAGTTGTATATTTCTATTCCTACCATTATTTATTCTAAACAAACGTAAACAACTGACAAAACCAATTGGATAAGGAAACTTGAGGCTGTGGTTTAAGACTAACAAAGGGCCACCTCTTTTATGCATTTGCCAGAAAACTAGCTCTATGGTGCACTTTGCCAATCGGCTGGGCTGGGAGAAGCAACAATTCAGGTCAAACCTAGCTGAATTACAGTGCAGGTAGTCCTTGACTTATGACCGCAATCGTAATCAGAATTTTTGTTGCTAAGCGAGGTGCTTATTAAGTGAATCACGTCTGATTTTAGCATCTTTTTTGCCCTGGTTGTTAAGTGAATCTGCATTGACTTTGCTTGTCGAAAACTGTGCAAGGTAGGTGGCAGATCGTGATGCTGCAGCTGTTCTAACTACACATCCGTTGCCAAGCGCCTGAATTTTGATCAGGTGACTGTAGGGATGCTGTGATGGTCGTAACTGGGGAAGACCGGTTGTAAGACACTTTTCCTACACCACTGTAACTTCAAACAGTTGCAGAGCAAATGGTCGTAAATCAAGGACAAGCAGTGGCATGTCATCTAATCGTTCTAATGAGTGAAACCACCCATGTATAAACAAACCATGGTTTATGCCTGCCTATTTTGTGAATCTGACAGTTAAACTAAAGCAAACGAAGGTTTAACACAAAGCTAGGGATCCTCCTAAGGGTGAGCGGATAGACCTAATCCAGAAGCAGATCCCATTCCCGCCCTTAGCAGGATCAATGACCCTTCGATCTGCTCAGGGTAGGGATAGGATCTGCCTCTCGATTAGGTACAGAGCCACGGATCCTGGCAACTGATCTTCCTCTCCAGTGGTGGGATTCAAATTTTTTTACTACCGGTTCTGTGGGCATGGCTTGGTGGGCGCGGCAGGGGAAAGATTACTGCAAAATCCCCATTCCCTCCCCACCCGACTAACCTGCTTTCCAGTTCCGTTCTCCTGTGCAGGGCAACCAAAGGAGACCCAGCCAATCAGCTGGGACTCAGGAGGCGGAGCATAGAATGGGGGGCGGGGCCAGTCAGGTGGGATTTAGCGGTTCTCCAAACTACTCCGAATGTCCGCTACCGGTTCAACGGAACTGGTCAGAACCCGCTGAATACCACCTCTGCTCCTCGCTAAACCCGCAGTCCTGGGCAGCTCGTCCTTTGACCAGGAGCCTGGGGACGGGTGGGAGAAACGCACCCCCGGTTTGGGTTGACCTCACCGCTCTGAATTCCGGGTTGCTCCTCTCCTTGATGGATGGAAGCTAATCAAGGAGAGAGGAAACAACCTGAAATTAAGGAGAAACTCCCTGACAGCGAGGACAATTAACCAGTGGAACAGCTTCCCTCCAGAAGTTGTGGCCGCTCCATCACTGGAGGTCTTTAAGAAGAGACTGGAGATCAGCCACTTGTCTGAGAGGATGCTTAAGCAGGGGGTTGGACTAGAAGACCTCCAAGGCCCCATCCAGCTCTATTCTGATTGATTGACTTCCTTCCAGCTCTGCTCTGCTTCTAATCCTTTGCACAGCCGCTGCTGGGCGGGACCGCGGCCCGAATCCACGAGGCACCAGCCCAAGGAAGCGCTTCCTCCTCCCTCCTCCTCCTCCTCCTCCACTCCCTCCCCGCGGGTTTCCCAGGTAGAAGGGGAGGAGCTTGCAGAGCAGCCAGACCGCAGTTGGTGCTGCGCCCGGGCGCTCAAGCGAGGCGGTGGAGGCGAGGACTCACTCGGGGAGTTGGCCACGGAGGCAGCGGGCGACCCCATCCCCGGCCCCGGTCACCAAGCGGCTGGAGATGACGGAGACGCTGCTGCCCAACGGCTGTCCGGCCGCGGACCAGCGAGGCTCCTGCTATTTTCGCAAGGTGAGCTCGAGGCAGGACGGACAGGGGTCCCTCCTGGCGCGGGAGCCCCTTTGCGCTCTTGGAAGGAGGGCGGGGGGGGGGGCGGATGTCTACCGACTCTTGGCGAGGTTCCTCGGGAATTTAAGGGAGGGGAGCTTTGCTTCCCCTTCACCCCCGGCTCCGATTAGTTCTGTTCTCATCTGGTTAAGCAAAGCAAAGCAAAGCAAAAATAAATTAAATTTAAAAAAAAATCCCGCCTGCGTAACAGGTATTTTCTCCGCCGATTCGGAGCCTCCTTGATGTGAAGTTGGAGGAAAAGACATGTGAGGATTGGGCAGGTTGTGTGTGTGTGTGTGTGAATTGGAGTTTTGCCTTCCGAGGAGGGTCCGGGGAGAGAGAGAGAAACCTTACCCCAGCGCCCGCCCCTCCCCACTTCTTCCAGCCACCTCCCTTCCTTCTTGGCGAAGTGAAAACCTCGCGAAAAGTCCTGCGGTTCCCCCCCACTCCCCTTATATAAACGGTGAAACGAGTGTAAACTCTGCCTGGTGGGTGAAAACCGAATTGGGGGAGGGAGTGGTGGCGTGGAGTGGGGGGCAGACACTGACCCTCACCCAGAAATTCACCTGGTTCCTTGGGTACCTGTTGCCTTCGCCCCCACCCCACCTGATGCATGCTATGGGATACATTTATGGATCAGAAACAGGCACAACGCCTTGGCATCTCTTTCTGGATGGCAATAAACTGGGCAGTAGGGTAGAGTGGCATCTGGGGTGGGTAGAATTTGCTGGAAGAAACTGAGATTTTTTTTTTCCCTGCGTGGTGCCAGGCTTGTGACTTCTATGGGAAAGGGGGTCTGGTTTTGGCTTTCTGTGAGACCATCACGGTTAAGGATGCTTGGCGCATGCCTTGATCGAGGAATTAAATGCAAAACCTTTGATTATCAGCTTCTTGTTCAAGGTACAATATTGGATGAACTTAAAAACAAAAACCCAACCCTGTACTGAATGAACTCACAAAACCGATTGATTCTATAACCCAACAGTGAACATAGCCAGTTTATTCTCTGGCCATTAAACTCTGATGGGAACTTACTAATTTTATGCTGTTTTATTCAAATTCTTGCTAGATTTACTTGAGAACGCAGTCTTAGGGGGTACCTATGTGTTGAATCCATAAGGGAAGATCTAGGATTGTGTTCCCCAATTACTGTTTGGTTAATATCTACCAAAGGGTAAAGTTCATTAGTTTCCTTTAATTTCTGCTGGGTTACAATTGTGCTTTGATGTCCACGAACCTCTTGTTACAGCATAAAGCAGACAAACAATTCAACTTACTTGACATTGGATTGATAATGTTCAGTGAGCAGGAATAAAGTGAATCATTTTTGTCTTTGAACGTAGGAATTCTGGGCAACTTTTAAAGGGGTTTCTGAGGCTACCCTTCCAGATTTGGAGGGTATCTGTTGGTGGATCGCAAGCTGGACACCTCCATGTTAGAGCAGAATCAACTCCTTCCTTGAAATGTGTACATGTGTCTTTGGAAGTAATGCTCCCAGAATCAAATGGCTTAACCCTTGGCTGTAAGAGTGTGACTTCACACTTTTAAATGTCTGCTATGTGAACAAACAAACAGACAAAAAAAAAGATTGTCTAAATGTCCAGGATACAAAAATGTCTTTATAAAAGTTATACCTTTAGTTTTGTAAAATCCTATTTTAAAGTACGGAAGTGTTCATTATAGCAGTTAGGCGGTGCAACTTAATTACGTAGCATTGCATGCTCATTTAATATATACCAGCATCTGCTACATCTGTGTAAGAAATAACCACTTGTCTAAATGGGGTGGTATGATGCATTTTTCGTGTTCCGCTGAAGCCTTTTCTGCTCTTGGTGGTGTTATATATTTAACATTCCTTCAGAAGCAACTTCTGCTTCCTACTTTTCATACACTTCCAGATAAGAATTGCAGACCTTTTAAAAATTATAATCCCTTGCAAACAATTGACTTCACCGGATTTCCCAGAGATAGGAGAACTTTCTGTTCCTTTGACTTACTATCAGTCATACTAAATCAGTCACTGATAACTGCAGTGTTTGGGCCAAACCCAGTGGGTTGTTCCACTAACTAAAATTAGGCAGAGCTTTAGAGCAAGTGTTTGACAAAACTCAAACATTGCAGTACAGCCTCTCTCTCGGTTCATGCATTGTAAAAAAACAAGATGTTTTTAAAAAATAAATAAAAATAATAGTTGATTTACCAATGATGGCGAATATACATGTCCCAGACTGGATCCTGAAAAGTTTATTTGTCGAAGAAGCCACTTTAGCTGGGCTTGTGTTTGTTTGTTTGTTAATTTATTATTTTGCATTTCTGGACCACCTGTCTCAATCAGTATATGGTATACAGTACAGTAGCGAAATATAAAACAGTATATGAGAATTAAAATGTTAAAATTTAGATTTTGAACGATTATAGAATTATAAGCAAGTGCAATGAACTTCTTGAGCCATAAATCAAACAAGATATATCAAGGCTTAGTGAGTTATGAGAAATCAGTTAATGATCAGATCTCTCTCTTCCCATCCTTCACATTTACTCTCTAATGATGGGTTATCAAAACTTAAGTTTGAAAAGTCAAGACTCATGTAGATTAAGCTCAGCTTCTCATGATACAAGGGCTGTTGTTTTCTTCAGAGTTGTATGGAAGTATTTCCTTCAGCTACAAAACTCTAATGAAAGGTTGATGTCCTGCCATAATGAAAGGAAATTGTTTTTTTAAAAAACAATATGTGGACCAACCAAAATGACACTTAAAGATGTGCAACCTTTCTCAACAACTGCTAGGTATATTTGTCTGATCTTGGTTAACCCTAATTAAGTTAATTAAAGCTCCTCCCTCCAAGTTTTTTTTTCCCAATTATTGATTCTCCTGATGATGGATTTTTCTCCTTTATGGATTAAGGCAATTGTCATTGTTTGTCTGAAGGGTTTGGGATTGTTGGGGGCTGGGGTTGGGTTTTTTGTTGTTGCTGTTGTTGGTATTCGAAAGGAAGGAAATCTAATAAGGTATGTCAGATCTGGGGTTTGCATTTTCCGCCAGCTAGGAATGTGACAACAGAGGAGTTAGCCTCAGGTGAGAGCTAACAAGTTGGCAAAGTTTCTGCCTGTATTAGATTACCAGGTTAAATTTAGGGCACTTCCTCAGCAACATTGGCAGGTCGGCAGCTCATTTGAGAGCGCCTGGCATCAACAGGTGTCAACTTCATTGGAAAGTTGTGCAAATATTACTGAGAGTATCTTTTTCCTTATCTCTCTCCTTCCCTCCCTCTCTCTCTCAAATATATATCCATGCCTGGCTAAACTCTCCACCCAATTATGATTGAGTGAAGTGAAAGTTTAGCCTTAGATAATCCAAGTAAGTGGAGAGTTTTAAATAGTGTAACCAACCTACAGAAGGCCTATATGTCCACTGTGGTTCTGGACAGATAATTTTTTTCTAACGAGGGTGGCTTGTAACATTGCATTTAGCAGCCAACAGAAGAAAGCAGGAGTCCAGCTGTTTTGAGGGCAGAAAAGGTTATTTCCACATGAAAGTTGTAGAATCTGAGTACAGTCTTCTGGGGTGTATATGTGTGTTTGTGTGTACATATACATATTCATACGGTACATACATACGTGTATATACACGTACACATAGGCCTCAACTTATGACCACAATTGAGCCCAAAATTTCTGTTGCTAAGCGAGACAGTTAAGTGAGTGTTGCCCCATTTTGTGACCTTTCTTGCTATAGTTGTTAAGTGAATCACTAAAGTTGTTAAGGGAATGTGGCTACCTCCTTGATTCTGGTTGACAGAAAGGGAGTCTCACATAACCCCAGGACACAGCAGCCATCATAAATATGAGTCAGTTGCCAAGCCTCTGAATTTTGATCATGGGACCATGGAGATGCTGCAACAGTCACAAGTGTGGAAAGAAGTTACTTCTTTCAGTGCCCTTGTGATTTTCAATGGTCACTAAATGGACTGTTGTAAGTCGAGGACTTCCTGTATTAGAATTTGACCTGGAAGAGCAGAGTTCGGGTGTCTCTTCAGCTACAAAGCCAGCTTCTGTCTGCATCTTATTTACATTGAGGGGAGGGGGGCTAAAACATTAAATCAGAGATCCTATTTTTAACTACCCTTAATTCCTTAGAGGAAGAGTGGGGAGAACAGAAGAAGTAAACAACAATTTTTCCATGGTACAGCCCATTATTTGGAAGCAGATGTAGCATCTGTAGGCGCATGATGAACAGCTTTAAAGTGGGTTCTTACATTGCACCAAACCACGATCTGCCTGACGTGGCTTATTGACTAAAGCATAACTGGCTCCATGTAAAACTCATTAAGCCGAAACCAAACAAGCCACAGTTTGCATCAATGGGCTGTAGGAACTCAAGCTTTCTACTGACCACCAAAATATGTCACCCTCCTGTCTTCTAAACACCGCACTTCTTCCGCAAGTAGAGGCATAGAGTTTTTCTCGTTGATTAGAAGTTCGTTTGGGTCCAAAAATGAAGGAGGGAGAGAAATTATATGCCCAGGGTCTTCAAACTTGGCAAGTTTAAGACTTGTGGACTTCAACTCCCAGAATTCCTTAGCTAACATGACTGGAGGAGAAGTTCTGGGACTTGAAGTTCACAAGTCTTAAAGCTGCCAAGTTTGAAGACCCCTGTTATATGCACCACTAACCCATTGTATGGATTGTCAAAAAGCGTAAGACACAACAATGGTTACAGGGGTGCAATCAATGCCCCACCATTTTGTATGTTGTTTGGGCTAGGTTGGGGCAAGCACAAAAGATGTGGAGCTTCAATTCTGCTGCTGTGATTGCCCTCTTCTTCTTTTGCCACCCCTTTTAGGGGGGTGATGGGTTCAAAAGGATTGGGGTGTCAAAGGTATCTAATGGAGAAGGAAAACATTGGGAGGAAGTATCTTCTCCATAGAGGTTGACTAGGGATCATAGGGTTAGATTTCTCCTAT